AAACGTAATAGGAGATCCGCAGTTCCAGGGGATAGAGCAAGAGCCAGGGTAAGGCCAGATTCCCGGGGGTTGGACTGCACCCTTGACTAGCGTCCAGGGAAGTCTGGGCAGAGGACAGGGCGCGGCCCTCCTATGGGAGCAGTTGCATTCTTTTTATTTTTCATTTTTAATTGACTTCAGAGATGGAAGGAGAGGGAGAGGGAGAGAAACATCAATGATGAGAGAGAATTATTGATCGGCTGCCTCCCGCACGCCCCTTACTGGGGATCAAGCCCACACCCCTGGGCATGTGTCCTGACCAGGAATTGAACCGCTACCTCCTGGTTCTTAGGTTGATGCTCTACCACTGAGCCACACCGGCTGGGCACATCTGCATTCTTTAAACCAGGACTGCATGTCTTGATTAGACATTTTCTGGCCGGGAGAGGCAGAGTAGTGGTTAAGTTCATGGATGCCAGTCAGTCCTGAGTTCAAATCCTGGCTTTATACTTACTGCCTGTGTGATCGTGAATAGGTTAGATCATTTATCTGCACCTCAGTGTTCTCATCTTTAAAATGGAAATAAGGGTCGACATGCGGCTTAGCTGAAATAATACATATAAAATAGTTTTGAGCAGTGTCTGTGACATAGCATCAGTAAATGCCAACTGTTAGTACTAAAATGATAAATGAGTCTTGTCGACTTTGGAGTTTAATCTGGAATCAAATCTGAGATCCAGGCTTGTTCTGTTCTTGGTTGATGAATCACATTGCTGTCACTTGGCTTTGGCGGAGCGAGTGTGCTTGTGAAATGAGAAGATTGCACGATAGTAATTAATGAGGGGATGAATAGTGACTTGCAGATAACCGTTGAGCTGTGGCTTTTCAGTGTGAATTTCATGGTACCTACATCCAGGGTTTGCCCATCGCTGACTCCTGTTATGGTCCACGTGTCCCAGCTATCTGTACCCGCATAACAAACCTTCTGAAAATGCAGTGGCTTAAGACAGCGGTGAGCGAACGTCTCCTTAAAGGACCATGGAATAATGATTTTAAGCCTGTGAGGGCCACATATGGTCTCTGTTGCATACTTTTCTTTGTATTGTTTTGTTTCTTTTAAAATGTGCCAAACCCAGCTTAGCTCACAGGCTGTAGAAAATGGGTCGCAGGCCAGATTTTGCCCACAGTTCATAGTTTGCAGACCTCACTCTTAAAAGTACAACGTTTATTGATTATTATTATCGCTATGGTTCTGGGAATTGACTGGCCTCAGCTACGTGGTTTGCATTCATGTGGTTACAGGCAGATGGTGGCTGGGAAGTCAGCTGAGGTTTTCTTGAAGGCTCCCTTACCCACATGGTAGAGGTAACACATACAAGCAATGGTGGATGCTGATGGTTGGTTAGGGCTGCAGCTGGGCCATCAGATGGAGCAGCTATACATGGCTCCCCCCTCGGCCTGACCTCCTCATAGCTCAAGAGAGATTGAGGCAGTTCAGCCGGTGTGGCTCAGTGGTAGAGCATCGACCCATGAACCAAAGAGCTCACGGTTTGATTCCTGGTCAGGGCACATGCCTGGGTTGCAAGCTCGATCCCCAGTGTGGGGCGTGCAGGAGGCAGCCGATCCATAATTCTCTCTCATCATTGATGTTTCCATCTCTCTCTCACTCTCCCTTTCTCTCTGACATCAATAAAAACATTTTTAAAAAGAAAGAGAGAGTGAGGCAGAGCCGTCCCTTATAACCTCACTTCAGAGGTCACACCACGTCAATTCCAGCCTCATTTTCTGCAGTGGGTCTTGGTCAGGGAGTCCGGCTCATGCGAAAGGGAAGGGAAATGAAGCTTCATTTCTTGACGGGAGCAGTTTCAAAGAATTTGCGGATGTATTTCACAAGCAAGCCCCAGGGAACACCTCAGTCTGGGGAGCCGTTTGAGGGCCTCAGTATTGTGCTGCGGTTGGCTTTTGATTTAGCAACAAAGGACGCTCCCCTCGCACTTTCCCACGATGTCTCAGAATCAACACGCCAGCGTCCTCTTGCCCAGGCAACAGCTGGCCATAGTGCCGGGGTTGCGTGACTGTGGAGGTGGCGAGTTGCTTTCCCACACATCCTTGACTTTAAAAATCCCACGTCTGAGAACTCATTCCCATGCCTGCATTTCTGGATTCCAAGGAGAATTAGTCACATGCATTTGGCATGGTCTTGACCTTGGCACTCCAGTGAGGTCAGAGAACAGCCCATAGCACGGTGTGCTGTCTTTAGGGAGTTAGAGATCGCAAGTCAACCAGTCTTAACAGACTTGACTGTAATCATCTCTTTTCGCTGGTAGAGATTTTTCTGTGCCGATGTTGATGGATGTGCGTTGTCTGGGAGGTGGAAGGAAACCTCACCGAGTATTGGGCGTTTGGGAGATGGGTTTGCAATGCTTTTGGAAAGAATCCATTGCAGTGCCTTGCGCTCCAGCTTAAATAGTTTTCCCAAAAGTTTGAACGTGTCGCACAATCACCTTGTGATGCCAAAGAGGAAAAGCGAGTCCCCTTGTTGCCTGTTCCAACCATCTGTCCGGCCCTGTCCCTCCGCACACTCCTTGCACGGCTGGTGTAGGAGTCCGGATCGGATCGGCTGGGATTTTCCATGGAGCGAACGCCGTGCAGAGACCATTTCGGGTTCAGATGTTTTAGAGCTGCGCTGGGAGGCGGTGGGCAGCTCCGTTGCTCTAGTCTTTCCAAACGCCTTTGTTGCGCCCTTGGGAGTGAGGTCAAAGGTTGATCAGGGAGAAGGCAGACCCGTGTGAAATGTTTCTGGAAGCTTCGCGGGAAAGGACTGGCGCTTGCACATTACACTTGCCTCCCTTTCTTTGGCTTTTCCTGGATTTCCCCCAGGCGTGAGCACATGCGCTTTCCCCGGGGAGTTTCCTTTGGCGTTTGTACCACGGGGTCCCCTCTTCCCCTCTCCTGCTCTTCACGGGTTTTACTCAGCTCATTCCCAGTCACGGGCAGCAAGAGGGAGTGACATGGATTTTCTAAACATTGTTGCTCTCGACATTAGGCAGAAGTTCCCATTGGCACTGTCCAAATGGCTTTAATCCAATTGCCTGGTTACCCCATTTGTTTGCATGTTTACTCAGAAGTGTTTAAACCTCAGGCTTATGTTTTTAAAAAATATATATTTTTATTGATTTTAGAGAGGAAACGAGAGGGAGAGAGACACAGAAACATCAGTGATGAGAGAGAAGCATTGATCTGTCTCCTGCACACCCCCTACTGGGAATGGAGCCTGCAATCTGGGCGTGTGCCCTGAGCGGGAATCGAACTGTGACCCTCCTGCTTCATGGGTTGATGCTCAACCACTGAGCCACACCAGCCGGGCTAAAGACTATTAATACGGACCTTTTTCTAAAAAATTTTTTTTACAAAAACAAACAAAATCATCTCCAACTGTGACTAATACTCAGCTCCTTAGCTCCCAGGGTGGACATGCTTGTGGAACCTTATTTTTCACCCCTGGCCTCTGGGCGCCAGGTGGTCCCCCGGGACGCTTCCCACGAAAGGGTTTCTGTGGGTGATGAGAACATGGAAATGCTTGGAATGGCGACGAGCGAGAGGACCGTTTTAAGGAAAGAAAAGACCAGGCCGCGCTGAAGGCACCCAGCAGGGCTCTGGCCGGTGTGCATCAGAAGGTGCTGACTGAACCACAAGTCAGGGGCAGAACCGGTCTCCTGGGCGGGGCTCGGCTTCCAGGACCCCGCTGGGGTGCCCGGGCTTGGCCGGCCGGGGAAGGAGGGGCTGTGCAGGGCGAGAAGTCTCCCGGGCAGCCGGCGCTCCCCAGCCGCCACTGCAGATGCGTATCCCGGAACCAGACTTTCCAGTGCCACCCTCGGGAGCAGACAGTGCGCTGCCCGCGTGTTTGTTCAAGGTCTCGCTGCGCAGTGTGCCCTGGCCGTGCTCCCGCCCTGACCCCAGGTGCCGGCCCCCCGCTGTGTGTCCTGTGTAAGGGACAGCACAGCCTCCGCCTCGCGTCAGCGTCTTAGGCTGCGGGGCCGCAGTCCCAGTGTAGCCTGGCTCCCTCCTGCCTCTATTGCTTTGGAGATGATGTCAAGCTTCCCAGACAAGTTCCAGTTTGTCCTAGAGAGCTCTCACTGTGCTCTGTCCCCAGTTTACTGGTTAGTGTCTGTCCTGTTTGCTGCGTTATTCCTTCTCTCTCAACACACACACACACACACACACACACACACGCACACACACACACACTGTTTTCTGAACCATTTGAATGTTGCAAACATCATATTCTTTTAGTCTTAAATACTTCTGTATTATTTCTTAGAACAAGGACATTCTAATTTTTTTTAAATAAGTTTTTAGCCGAAACCGGTTTGGCTCAGTGGAGAGAGCATCTGCCTGCGGACTGAAAGGTCCCGGGTTCGATTCCGGTCAGGGGCATGTACCTGGGTTACGGGCACATCTCCAGTGGGGAGTGTGCAGGAGGCAGCTGATCAATGTTTCTAACTCTCTATCCCTCTCCCTTCCTCTCTGCAAAAAATCAATAAAATATATATAAAAAATAAGTTTTTATTGAATTCTGTGCAGCTATTGCATAGGATGGTAGCGGTTGGCAAACTATAGCTCACAGGCCAAATCTAGCCCACAAACTGTTTTGGTTAAGAAAGTTTTATTGGCACACAGCCACGCCCACTGATTGATGTATTTATTGCCGATGGCTGCTTTACCACTGCGGTAGTGGAGTTGAGTGGTAGCAACAGAGACCAAATAGCCCAGGGGCCTGAAATACTGACTGTCTGCTCCTTTACCCAGTGTTTTCTGGCCCCTGGTATGTAGGTTATGTTCATGGACATGGACAACTCCATGCCATGTCATTGCGTGATAAAAGCAGGGAACAAAAATCAAATGAGCAATGTGATCCCTCTTCTATAGCAACATGTGGTAATGGGGAAGGGGGAGGGAAACACCTTTATTGTTTTTAGGAAAAATATCTTAAATTAGATTCACCAAAACGTACTAGGTCACCTGTGAGTTGTGAGATTTTCAGTGATTTTTACTTAACCTCTATATTTTTCTGTAATTCCTAAGCTTAAAAAATATTTGCATAAATAAAATGGGTAAGTGGCTGTTATCTCTGCTCTGCAGAGGGGGTGAATAGATGAACTGTGGTGTGTCCATGAAGTGGAAGACCACTCAGTAATAAAAAGAACATGCTATTGAGACCCAGGTCAACTTGGGTGGATCCCAGAGGCACTGTGCGGGGGCAGAGAGGGCAGACGCAAAGCTGCCTCACTGTGCTCCCATTTTGGTGGCCTTGAGAAGATAAAACTAAAGGGACAGAGGGCAAATGAGTGGTTGCCAGTCTTAGGCATGGGGAGGTGTGACTACACGGGGACAGCACAAGGGGTAGGGGGTGATGGAACTGTCGGTATCCTAATGGTGGTGGTCACACAAATCTGTGCTACATTATAATTCCGAGAACACACCAAAAATAGGTAATTTTGCTATGTGTTAATTTAAAAAATAACAGATATGTATGGGATAAAATTGAGGGATCATGCACAAAAATTACAGTGCTGTTGGTTTAAAATTATGGGCAACTTTCCTGTTTTATTTTCCTACTTCATAGGGATAAGTTATGGTTATAATTAGAATATAATACGTACAAACTGTGCCAGAACTCTGCGACGCAGTGTGTGAGGCCTGGGAAGGGACTCTCTGGCCCGTCATGCTGCAGTGGCACCTGGAGGTACAATTAGAATATAATACGTACAAACCTGTGCCAGAACTCTGCGACGCAGTGCGTGAGGCCTGGGAAGGGACTCGCTGGCCCGTCATGCTGCAGTGGCACCTGGAGGTGCAGCGTGTTAGGGTTGTCGAGGGCAGTTCACCCTGTGTCCAGGAGTCTTTATGAAATCCGTGCGGTACGCAGCTCCCTTTAGAAAGTGGGAGGAGCAATAGAATTGTTGCTTCTTTCAGAGACTCTTTTATCTGGAAAATTGACTTCTGTAGAATTCCCCATTCACCTTTGATGCCAAATAAATGAGACTGTCGTAGGTAGTAATAACCCCATATAGCCACGCATGATCTTGTTTGTTCTCCAATCTGGGAGGGGGAGTAGGGTCCGGGCATGCTCTCCTGTTTGCAAAGAGGAAACCGAGGCACCAGAGCATCGGAGCGCGGGCTGGGAGGCTATAGACATTCCACTGGCTTTACCTCCTCCCCGGAGGCAGACGCGCTTTTGTGGCTCGCCAGTAATGATACAAAAGGTAATGCTATCACACTGCTTTCTACTGAGAATTTCCTGGACGTCATGGAGATGAAATCAGTGTTGTGTGCCTTGGGAGAAAAAAATAAAGCCGTTTTCTCGCTGAAAATTCACAAGTGCTCGGACTGTAACGAAATGCTCTCATCTGTTTGGTTTCCCAGGATTCTGTATTGCACGCTGGTGATCCCCATGCTCTACCTCGAGCCCTTCTTTTCCTACATCTTCCTCAACCTGCAGCTCATGGTCCTGCAAATCCTTCACCTGTACTGGGGTTACTTCATCCTGAAGATGCTCAAGAGATGTATATTCACAAAGGTAAGTGCTGTTCAAGTCTTATTATTCTTTTAAAAAATCTATGTTTTTATTTTTTAAAAAAATATTTTTAAAATTGATTTCAGAGAGGAAGGGAGAGGGTAAGAGAGAGAGAGAGACCTCAGAGAGAGAACCATTGATCAGCTGCCTCCTGCACACCCCCCACTGGGGGGTGAGCCTGCAACCCGGGCATGTATGTGCCCTGACCGGGAATCCAACTGTGGGGACCTCGGTTCATAGGTTGACACTCAACTACTGAGCCACACTAGTTGGACACTTTTATTCTTAACAAGTAGACTTCAGTGCCAGATTGAAGGTGAGGCCTAAACAGTGGAACATTCTAGTTAGTTTATAGTTAACCAGAACTATTTTAAAAAATTTTGATCATTATTAAAAAATTTTTTTTCTAAATTTAGCTAGAATTTTCATTAAGTAGGTCTCAGAGATGCTTTGAAGAAATAGCTTTTATTAGAGGACAAGTTAATTTTAAGAGATTTTTGTCTAAAAATTGATTGCTGCTTTTTAAAGAATGTCCTAATGAGTCTAAATTTGTTCCAGTTTGGGACGAGCTTTATGGTGACAGTTGAACAAAATTTTAGAGCATCTGATTTGCATATAATGTTCTCCCCGGAGTTTTCTCCTACTCTCTGAAATATTGTATATCATTTGGCAATCATTCTTTTCTGAAAACATCTGTTTTCCTAAGCAACAAATTGATAAGACAGTTGAGGCAATAGAATATTGTTTTGTTTTGAGTTCAGTTCTGGATGGAGGGGCGGGCTTCAGCAGTAAACGCAGCATCTGGGGGAATATTTACCTGTTAGCGATTGTCTGCGCTGTTCCGAGTCCTGTGCTAAAGACAGGCGTTGGCTCAGGGGACTAGGGAACGTTTCATGGACTCGACGGAACTTGACTTGAGCCTTCGAGCAAGTTAAAAAAAAATCAGATCACAGCTCCTGTTTGTGTGAAAATCATCCATCCAAGCATCGAAAGGATCTTTCAAGGTGAAGGTTGGGCCATCCACGCCTGACACCGCATCGCATGCTCATCAGAAAGAGGGGCTTGGAGGTCATGGACGTGTGGTCATTGGTCTGATGAGCTCGTCGCTCAGCTCTCTGATTAACTCGGTTTCCCACCGCATGGAGTGCATATGCCTCGGTGATGCTTGAGGAGCTGACAGTTACGTGGACATGGCAATAATTGACCTTCTACCGCGTCTGACCTTCCAGATCTAGACAGAGGCGTGGGCAGTCAGGCTACATCTGCATTCAGCTCCAAATTCGGAAAGCTGTGTTGTCATTTTTTAAAAATCTGAATTACTGACCTGAGCTTGTTTTCCTGAGAGTAGGTTCTCCACTAAGGTTGGCGTGCCAAGAAAATATTTCATTGACTGGTTCTAGTTTATTATTCTAAAGAGCTTTCCTGTTCTCTGCCAAAGCTGTCTTATCTCGAAGTGACTGATAAAGCTGAAGTGACTGAGATAAGGATACGACTGAGCAGCTAGATGGCTGCACGTCCAGGGGTTGGAGGGACGGAAGGACCCCGGACTGAACCGCCGTAGCTTTGGGTCAGGCCTTCCCGGAGCTCCCGTCCCGGGGCAGGAGCTGTCTCATTGCCAGGCGAGGGCCGGGAGGTGACCACAGGCCGGGAGGGAGCCTGCAGAGCAGAAGGCGAAGCCAGGAGAGATTCTTGTTTGGTTCCCTTGTGATTGTCACCTGTCTCACCCCTAATGGCTTGTACCAGGCCTAGTTAAAGGCCTAGTGGGCCGGGGGCTGTGGACAGGAAGTCCGGCTTTGTCGTGCTGTGTGTGGAAAAGCTGCTTCCAGCTGCGAGTTGACCGCGGTGGTGGAGGCCCCTCGCCCCTCGCTGCGGTCCCTGTGACTTCAGCTGGTGAGCATGTGCGCTCCACTCTCCACACGGTGGCAAACCTGGCTGCGAAACCTGCTTGTTCCTCCAGTGCCCTAGGCCGCCTTTGAAAGAATGCTGTTTCAGGCAGAGTCACATTCATGGCACAGGGGGGAGGGGACAGGTGGCAGTTGACATTCTTAGAGCAACAACTAGCAAGTCAGTTTTCAACAATATCTCATAAATATTGAGTATTTAACACTCAACCTTGTTGTTGCTAAAGTGACGAATTCTTGGATATTTAATAAATGGGATTGCAGAAGTTTGTAGGCCTCCAGAAATGTCTTTTAAATCTTATAACAGAGAGTGAGAATTCGTCCCTCTAAGTTTCTTCTGCCTGGTAGGCCCTTGGTAAGTAATTTTGAATATGCAAATGAATACATAATTTGGGGAGGCAAACCATGATCTTTGGGGTGGAAAGTTACAGAATAACTTATGAATCTTTTTACGGTCTCCATGAGTTTGCATGGTAGACTGCAAAAGACAAAAGTGCTTATACTAATCCATAGTGAATTTTGAAATAGTCAGATTTTGTTTTTCCTAAACAGTAGGCTCATTGTGTGCATAGCATGAATGAGGACCTACCATTGGCTTCTGTGGTCACAAGCCTTACAGGAGCAGCGGCACTGTCATCTCAGGACCGTGACTTGTGCAGACCGTGGCAAGCAGGCATCTTGCTGCTCAAGACCAAGACTTGGCTCTGAACCCTCACAGGGTCCCATCGGGTGGTGACGTGGTGATGTGCTACCAGCCCGCACACCACCGGGAAGCACGCGAGCCCCTGTGTTCCTCCTGTCAGTCCCCTGCAAACAGGAGAAGTGCTGTCGGGAGAATTAAAGGGGCCCAGCCTGCTTTCGTTACCATCCCGAGAACTTGATCGTCCCTCAGCTTCTCTTTTCTTCTTGGTAAACAGCATGCTGGGTGCGGGCCAACTCAAGCATGTCTCTGCGACATCTTAACCTGGTGCGCAGCCAAGACACAGGGAGGAGCCGTCACGTCAGGGCGGAGAAGCCAGCCCCTTGGCAGCCTGCCCCAGCCATCTGCTCTTGACAGGCAGTGCGGCCCGAGTTCACAGAATGACACTTGACACAAGCGGCACCGTTGGCGTGAGAGAAAGGAGCGCTCTCAGAACCACGAGGAAACGGAGGCCTGCAGCAAATGCATAGTCACCCGAGTCCCTTCACTTGTCATACTTCTCCTTTTCTAATTATTCTTTATTCAAACACTTATTCTTTTTTAAAAAATTGATTTCAGACGAGAAAGGAGAGGGAGAGAGAGAGAGAAATATCAATTGGCCGCCTCCTGTACACCCCCAACCAGGGATCGAGCCCAAACCATGGGCATGTGCTCTGACTGGGAATCAAACCAGCGGCCTCTTGGTGCAAGGGTTGCTGCTCAACCACTGAGCCACACCAGCCAAGCTCAAACACTGCTTTATTTGAAATAACTAGAAAATCAATTTAAAATATTTGTATGAAGTAAAAAATAGTGAGTACATAACTGCATTGAATAATCAAGATCATAAAATGCAGTGACAAATTCTTTAACTTGTTTTTAGACTTTTTATAAAAGCATAAGAAAACATTTTATAATAATTTGTTTAATCCCAAGTAACTTCCTGCTAAGCAATCAGGGTACTAGCTGAGAGCACAGGCTCCTGTACCTTCAGATCTCAGCTCTCCCATCTCCTGGCTGGGACCTATTCATTGCCTCAGTTTCCTCACCTGTGAAATGGGGCTGATGGCATTGGGAGCTACCTGCCCTGTAGGCTGACCCCCTCGATCAGTGTCTGGCACACAGGAAGCACGTGATAAGTGTGAGCTGTCATCATCATCATCAGCAGCATAACTGTTCTTTGTGCCAAATCACCGAGCGCCAGTGAATTCCAAGGAGCTGGGCAGTTGGCTCCCCGTCCAGCTCGCTCCTCCTCTTGCCCAGATGCTGCTGCAGCTGATGTCAGGTGTCCGGTGGAGACGGAGGATTTTTAGGGCAGAAAACAAAATCCCTTTCAGGGGTTCATACCTGTGGCTGTGATGTTACAGATCGCACATACATGGTACATTTGAATACAGTGTGGGGTTTTGTTAATGTTAAATGCCACACAATTTCCAGTTTACATGATCCAAGTTCCTGTCATGTGCAGCCACCTACATGTCCATCACACAAGCGCTCAGTCCCAGGAAGTCCTTTCTGAACCTGATTCGTCATCTTGGGCGGGGGCCCTCCATCCTGCTGGACCCACACCCCGGCACTAGCCTGAAATGAAATTCCTGGGTAATATGACTCACCTATAACCATAATTTCAGAAAGCAGTATAATGCCACAACCATAATGAAAAAGAAATGAGATGAAAGATGTTTCTGATAAACATGCATTTCATATGTAACACGTGTGCATGGCTTCACTCAACAACATGCTGAAGTCGATAGATGCCATCTGCTTACGTGTAGACGGACTGTGAAGGGGGCAGCTGCGCGCACAGCCGGCCCCAGGGCTGCGCTGGGGACCCGGGCGGCACTGGTAGTCTTGCCGTCGGTGGCGTGCTTTTCTGAAACTGTGAAGTTCTGAACAGAAAAGGCACAGTCTTCCTTTGATTTATGTGCCTCGTTGCATTCCTGGAAAATTGAGAATATATTAAAACCATGCAGGAATGGCTGTGCTTGAGTGTCAAGTGGCGTTAGGCTCTGGGCGCAGGTAATTGTAACCAGGGCTTCACCTGCATGCCGGCCCATCTGGACATCGTGCCCACTGGGGGCGGCCGGCCTGCCAGCCACTGCCCCCTAAATGTCAGGGGTGCTCCCCAACCTTCGTGACTATGGGACCACAACTTACCCAAAGTCTCGTGTGGTGCAGGACGTCTTCCCGGAAGTGAGGGTGCTGACGCTGTGGCTCAGGGCGATGGGAGCGCCCTCGAGGACCACCTCACCTCTCAGCTCAAGCAGCTCCCCAAAGCCCAGGCCAGTGGGGGGAGGAGTGCGTCTGCCTTTCTTTGTTAATCCTCACCTGAGATTATCCCAGTGATTTTTTAAAAATATGCTTGTGTTGATTTCAGAGAGGAAAGGAGCGGGAGAGAGAGATAGAAACATGAATGAGAGAGAATCATTGATCAGCTGCCTTCTGCATACCCCACACTGGGGGTCAATTTTGAGTTAAAATCAAGGTGTGGCAGAGCTGTGTTCCTGCTAGAGCAAGCATGTCAAACTCAAAGGCTAACACGGGCCAACGAAACAAGGTTTAAGTTTATGTGCGCCGCAAAAAACCCAAAAGCTTCCATTTTCATAGAAATGTAGGTTTATTTTGATAGAGACATGCTGAATGCAAAGGGATGAATTAGATGAGTAATTGTTAACATAAAATAATAGAACATTTTAATAGAAGTTAATGTTTTTTCTTGAACATGAACTTACCAGACACTGAATAACTGCATAAACTAATAAGCATAACACAAATAAATCTACTTTTCTTGTTTTCTGAAAGCAAAATATTTCCTGTTGCGCACACCAAACAAGTCAGTCCAAGACTAATGACGTGGCAATCAGCTGCTAAAATATTCGCTGCTGGTATTAGTGGAGAGAAATGGTGCGCCTGTGTGTAAGGGAAATGAATGCAGCACAATTATAGTAATCAGCCATTAGCAAACATCGTAGTTTGCTATTAATAATTATGTATAACTGGGTATTGTAAAAATTAAGTCACAGAATTTTTATTAAAACGTTTCTTACTTACCGTTATATTGGCTGGGCCGCAAAAATATTCCTTTGGGGCTGCAACTCCACTGCGGGCCGGGAGTTTGACATGCTTGTGCTAGAGGCTCTAGGGGAGAATCTGTGCTTTGCCTCTTGCAACTTCTAGCGACTGTCAGCCTTGGCCTGTAGCCACTCCACTCCACTCCACTCCACTCCGCCTCTGTCTCGTGCGTCCTTCTCTCCATGTCAGACCTTGCTCCGCTGCTCCTACAAATACGCTGTGATGGCACTGAGGGCCCGTCTGGGTGACTCGATACTCTTCTCATTCCAGGATCCTTTACTTAACCACATCTGCAGACTTTACCATAGAAGGCAACAGTCGAAGGTCCAGGAACTAGGACCTAGTATCTTTGAGGACATTTTTCAACAGACTACAGTGGTGTTTAGCAATCAAAAGTGTGCGCGTGCGCGCGCGCGTGTGTGTGTGTGTGTGTGTGTGTGTATGTGTATGTGTGTGTGTCTATGTGTCTGTGTATATGTGTGTGTGTATGTGTGTGTGTATGTGCGTGTATGTGTGTGTATGTGTATGTATGTGTGTGTGTGTGTGTGTGTGTGAATTTGTGTTGCTGTTGTACCTTGCAGCCTAAGTGCTAAACTTACTAATTTTAGGAGTGTTTTGGAAAGATTCTTTGGGCTTTTCTCCATAGATAATCATGTCATCTGCAAGTAGGGGCACTTTCTTTCTAATCTGTATGGCCTTTGTTTCATTTTTGCCTTATTCCATTGACTAAGACTTCTGTCTAACACAGTGTGGAATAGCAGTGGTGAAAGTGGACATCCTCGCCTTGTGCCTGGGAGGGGGAAAGCATTCAGTCATTCACCATTAAGTATGGTGTTAGCTTCGATTCCTTGCTAAGCTTTTTGTTTTTATCATGAATGAATGTTGAATTTTATCAAATAATCATCTATTTTTCCTTCTTTATGGAAGACACTGGAGATTTGGTATTAGTTCTTCTGTATAGAAGCGTCGGTGAAACCATAGACCTTGCCAGTGAAACCATCTGGACCTGATGATAATTCTTTTTCAGAAAAATTTAGACTACAAATTTCACTTCTTTCATAGCCGTCTGAATGTTCGGGCTGCCTAGATCACTGTGGGTGAATTTTGACGTTTGTAGTTTTGGGAAATTGGTCTGTCTACCTGAGTGGTACGATAGCTGTCTGTGGAGTTGTGCATGGCGTTCTGTCACTAATGCAGTGTTGGCAGGCATTTCCCCTTCCTGTTTGCTGATCATTTGTGTCTTCTCTTTGCTTTGCCAACCTTGCTAGTGATTTATAAGTTTTATGAATATTTTCAAAGAACCAGATTTTGGTTTTATTGCTTTTCTGTATTTTTACTGTTTCTGCTTTCATTGATTTTTTTACATGATTTTCTTCCTTTTGCTTGCTTTGGACTTATTTTCTTTTTTTTCTAGTATTTGTAGGTGGGAGCTCAAAATTATTTAATAATAAGCTTAAATTATTTATTTGTGAAGAAATTATTTCTTCTTCTCGAATATAAACACTTAATGCTATGAAATTTCTTGTAAGTACTGCCTTAGTTATATCCCACCGACATTGAAATGTGTTTTCACTTTAGTTCAAAATATTTTCTAATGTTTCTTGAAATGTACTCTGTGATTCATTGATTATTTGTGTGTTAATGTCTAAGTTTTTGAGATTTTTCCTATTCTATTTTTTAAAATATATTTTTATTGATTTCAGAGAGGAAGGGAGAGGAAGAGAGAGATAGAAACATCAATGATGGGAGGGAATCATTGATTGGCTGCTTACTGCACGCCCCCTACTAGGAATCGAGCCGGAAACCTGGGCATGTGCCCTTGATCAGAATTGAACCCGGGACCCTTGAGTCCGCAGACCAATGCTCTATACACTGAGCTAAACCGGTTAGGGCTCTCCTATTCTATTTTTGATACTGTCTTCTGTGGAATTCCATCATGACCTAAAGCATACTTTGCCTCGTGTCAGATCTTTAAGTTTGTTGAGGTTTGCTTTGGCCTCATGCCCTGTTCTGTCCCAGGGCGTGTTTGGTGGTTTGGATGCTGGGTTTCCTTTGACGGGGGCCATAGCTCTAAACTGGGCCCACTTATCTGCTCATTCATTCAAGACTGGCGGCCAGCTGTCACTCACAGTCCATTCTCTCCTTTGTCCAGAAAATCCAGGATGTGAGGAGTGATGACGAGGAGTACGAAGAAGAGGAAGAGGAAGAGGAAGAGAAGAAGGAAGAGGCCACCAAAGACAAAGAGAGAGACTGTGTGAAGAACGGACTCGGGCCCGACCGGAGCCTCCTTCCCAATGGTCAGCATGGCCGTTAGCGGGAAGCCCACGTGGGTCTCGGGCCAGTGTGAGCAGGGCCACAGAAGCCAGGCTGCCCTCCATCACTGCAACCCAGGCCCCACAGGGACCCCAGACCCGCCCTCCCTCGCCCCAGTGCCCCTCCAGATGTATTTAACAAAAACGTTGTTGGAATGTGTTAAAATGTTAAATATAAGCGTTCCCATGGATTTACTGCAGTTAGGACTGGGACCGGTCAGAGATTTCAAGGATTTCTCCAGGGAACCGTGTCGGTTCTCATTGTCATTGCACCGCCCGCCTTGCCCATCCCTAGCAAGTGCCAGCAGTGCTGTTAAGCCACTTCCTCCACTGGGCTTGGCCTCAGAGAGAGCTCCTGCCCAAGAACAACTGAGAGGTAGCGATGGGACAGGGGCTTGTTTTAAACCTCACCAGCCTTGTTGCTCTGTCTGTCCAAGGGAAGAATGCCTGTCCCGCCGACCTCACAGGGTCGGAGGAAGGATCCAGCAAGAGAAGGCAACTCCAGTGTTATTGTCCCTGAGCCTCGTCCTCTGCAATTCCAGCTCCGTTTGGGAGAGAGAACCTGGCTAAGCTGGGCATTGCATGGACCTGAAGGAGAGAGAGGATCTTAAAAACCTCCCCATTCAGCCTGCGTGGTGCCAGCTGGAGATGCAAACACCCAGCAGGCCCTTTCCATTTACCCCGAAACTATTTATTTGTCAGCTTCCCAGGGTAATGTCTGAATTCCCTGGGAATTCTCCTCCCTCAGGCCCAGTGGCCACAGGGAGGGAGTTTGGGTCCCAGTCCGTCTTGCCGTGCTGGTCTGTCCTCCTTTTCTTCTCTGAAAGGCCAGCAGAGCTACCCAGCAGGCCCTGGGTCCACCGGGGGCCCTGGGGGGGTGGGACCGGTCAGGCTGCTCTCTGAGCCACTATCACCCGGGAAACCGGAGCCTCCGGGCATGATATGCGTGTGAGCTCCCTACCGAGAGGAAACCTTAGACACAGGAGGAGGGTGCTGCCCATTCATCTCCCCTGTAACCAGTCAGACTGCCAATAGCCAAACAGAACCAAAGGCAGCTGGCAAACACTCAGGTCCAAGTGCAGGTGCTCCTGTCAGCGACAGCTCCCGGGCCACCTGCGTCTCTGGGAGGATGGAGGGGGGTGGGGGCTCAGGGGCTGTTTTCGGTCCCCACAGGGGGCATGTCTCATGAGCCCAGCATGCAGGGCAGGCCCGGGGTGTCTTACATGATTGCTGGCTGAGGAGAGACCACTCCCAGCAGAAGGAAAACCGGGCACCATGTGCACCCCCTCCCCACCCCTGTCTCTCGGACAGTTTTGGTCACACTGTGCACCTTCGTCTCATTTCACTCAGGGCCCGTATTTAAGCCAAGGGACAGCTAGGACTGTGGGCACCGTTCACGCGTCCACATAGGCCCCGGGAACAGGACGGCTCTGTGCGCAGGACAGGTACCTGAATTGTGTTTTACTTAAAAGATGTTTTTTGTTGTCGTCTTTTTCTCTTTTAATTTAGTTCTTTTTAACTAAAAAGATGTTTTTAAAACCTTCAGGTTAAACCGAAACCAAAACCGTTCAGAATTCTTCCCCCAATGGAATCTCCTTGTGAGAACTCAGGAGGACAATAGAAAAGCAGGGGGCACGTGTTCTCTGCACAGTCATGTTTGCCAGCACGAGCACCATGCATTGTCCGTATAATGTTATATTATAACCCAAAGTGCCCGCACACCCTGACGGGCACAGCTGGGGAGCTATTATTACTATTATATTATTATTGTTTTGGTGGCAGAAGAGCATGCTGAGATATTGTTTTTTAATGTTTTTAGTTGGCAGAGTACTTTTTTCTTTGATTGATTTTGGTGTTGTCTCTGTACCAAGTATCTCCCTGCTTACGGTAAAAAATCGCTTACTGGCCGCCCTCCCCTCCAGTTCTTTTCTTGTTTGAATGTTGAAGGTGAAATGGATGTGCCAGTGTCAGCCGTCTCTGGTAGCTGGTGCACTAACCCGCCTCTCAAGAGGTAGAGAAGCTGTGGGGCTGGTGTGTGGTTGGTTTTGGAGCAACCACTCCACCTGCAGGAAACAGGCCTCAGACTGTGCCAGGCGAATTTATAAAAACGCAGCCCACCGGCCCCGGTAGGACTGTCACGGTAATGACTGACCGCGAAACAAAGGCTGGGTCCGGCACGCGCCCTCTCGGCTTCTGGGAGCTGGTGACGGGTCTCACCTGGTGTGGACCATCTGCCCGTCCTCCAGACTCTAGAGACGCCGTGCCAGGGAGCAGAGGGCATGGAGCCACGTTAGGACTCTGGGGCTGCTGGCCGTGGGGTACCGACCTGGACAGGAACTGGCGGTTGGTCTTGACCGGGGAGAGCCTCTTGGCTCTGTGTAGTGTAGACAGACAGACACCTACGGGCTGGGACCTAACTCGGTGCTGGCCACAGGGCCCTGCGGCAGAGGCGCTCGGAGGTGCTCAGAGAGGTGTTTTCTCAGCCCCTTTCTCACCTGCCTTTCGGAGCTGGAGGAGGACATCGGTCCATCAGCATTCCCTGCGGACCTAAGCGCGCCTTGCCTGGCGCCTGCTGACATTTCAATTCAATGCTTTGGGGCGAGAAACAGATCTGCATCTCAGCCGCGTCTGGGTGCTTCTGAAGAGCAGTGAGGGTTGAGGGGGGGGGGCAGGGTACCCGCTTCATTCCTACCAGCAGTTTCTCAGGCTGATAGATGGGGACGTGCCCTGACACAGGCTAGTCAACCCCAAATCCGTCAACAGACAAAGCAGACAATGGGCAGGTCACAGGAGAATAAAGCTAGCGCCTTTGACGTCCTCGCCTTTCTCGGATTGTTGGTGTTATTTGACCACAGCCTTTCCTTTCTCCTAAAAACTTTTAATACCAAGAATACCTTTAAAAGAGCCCATGACCTCACTATGTCAATATATCTGAAGGTGTAAGTAAAATGTGTAAGTTCCTAGGAAACTACAGCTTGCCAAACGGGCACAAGAGGAAATAGCTACCCATATAGTCTTCTGTATAAGACAAAATGAAACGTGAAATGATAACATTCTCACACAACCCCACAAAACAGTCCTTAGGCCCAGATGGGGATCCTTCCAATATTTAACAAAGAGTGTACACAGCGTTACGCAAACTTTTCCAGGGACCAAAGGAAGGAACACATCCACACTTGTTTTATACAGTAAGACCAGCACAAACTCGACACCAGAATCTGACAAGAATATTAGAAGAAAAACCCCAAACAATTAAAGGATGTCATTCATGAACATAGGCACACAATCCCTCAACCAAAGCTAATCAGTGATTCTCATCACCGATGTTTCTATCTCTCCCTCTCCCTTCCTCTCTGAATGCAATAAAAAATATATTAAAAAACAAAAATAAATAAATGAAAAGGCCCTTTGCCAAGTTGCCGAACTCTTGGTCCTTGTGAATAAAACCTTCCACCAGGGGGCCCTCAAGCTCTGGTGAAGGAGAAGAGGGGAGAGGACAAAACCCACTGGTTTTTAAAGGGAGAGAGGGTGCTGGCCAGTGTGGCTCAGTGGTTGAGCATCTGCCTATGAACCAGGAGGTCACAGTTCCATTCCCGGTCAGGGCACATGCCTGGGTTTTGGGCTCAATCCCCAGTAGGGGGCATCCAGGAGGCAGCTGATCCATGATTCTCTCTCATCATGGATGTTTCTTACCTCTCTCCCTTCTCCCTTCCTCTCTGAAATCAATAAAAATATAGGGGGAAAAAGAGAAAAATAAAATAAAGCTCAAAACCCTGGAACAATTTAATAAGCCAAGTCAAATTATGGGCTTTGGGTCCAGGAGGCACGTCCAAGAACACAGCGGTCAGTGTGGTCACTCTGATTGGAGCTGCTCAGGGACACGTCTGGCCCGTGTCCACTGTGGGGGAGTCTGTGGGCTCCTGCAGGGGCCGGCTCAGCCGCCCAGCACCCACGGCAGCCCCTGCCTGCAGTGTGCACAGCCCAGGCCTGGGAGTCAGTGTGTGTGACAGGGACTGCAAGCACACACAGGGACAGGGAGGGAGGGAGAACAGCAGAGCCAACCAGAGGGGGGGCGAGGGGGAGGGGGAGAGGTGCGCTGGGGGTGTGAAGGAGCCAGCAGAAAGCAGAGAGCCCTTGAGAGCCAGCAGGTGTCCGAGTAGAGTGGGAAGTGGTTCCCCTCTCCCTTCTTCCCAGGCTGCTCCTAACTCTCCCGCACCCTGCTCTCTGCATGGCCCCTCCATCCCCACCAGCCTCCACCTCTCCTCTCTCCTCACCCCCACACCCTGTCCTGCCTGCCCCCCACCCCCACTTCTTAGGGTGGAACTTGACCACAGCCGGGTGTGCTGATGGCCCCTCCCACCTGTCCATCTGAAGAACCCCCGTGCCTCTGGCCACCAGCCCACCCACCCGTTGGACCTCTGCTTTGGTTCCCGGGACCTTGTTCTATCAGCATAAAATGTTCCCAGGCTGCAGAGTGTGGGACCTGCCCATGCCTCCTGGAGCACGCGCCAGCACCAGCCAAGTTTAAGGCCTGCCCCTCCTGCCTCCCTCACCCCCCTCTCGCTCCCAGCACCCCGTGGGCAGCCCCAATAGCCATGGCCTTGGCTCTTTAGTACCTGGAGAAGCCAGCAGGAGGGTAGCAGAGAGATGAGCAAAGGGCAGGGGTTGCAGGCAGATCTCCCTTCCACTCCCCTCTCCACACCCACACGCTGGGGCGCTGGAAGGGCTGGGACCCCCGGGGAAGGGTGCAGGGCCGCCCCAGCCTCCTCTCCTGCTGCCTCAGAACAGGGAGGAAGAAGCAGGCGAGGGTGAGGGACACCACACCTGGCTTGGAGGCCGTGGCTTTGAGCAGGGGCTTGGCATCCGTCTGGCCTTCAGGCTCACGTGCCGTCTTGTGAAACCCTAGCACTTGACCCAACTCCCACGACCCACCCCACCTGCAGCGGGGGCCGGAGGATCCCCGGGGAGAAATAAAGCGAGGAAACCGCGAAATCAGGTCCAAGGGAAAAAGAGAGAGGGGCTCAATTCCCCTCTTCTGTTCTTGGCAGCCACTTACAGAAGGCTTCGGGGAGGGGAATTTGATAACCAGGCAACTGCACCCTTAGATAGCCGGCCGTCTGGCCCTTAGCCAGGGGCACGTTTGAGAGCGGAATGGGAGAGTCATTTCTACAAAATGCATTTGTCTCTCAGCTCTAAGTGTCTGTCCCCACACCCCTCCCCCTCCCCCTTTATGTTTCTTCCTCCCTCCCTCCAGCTTTCTCTTGCTCTCCTCCCCTGCCCTCCCTCAAGGATGGGTCTTAGCGGGACTGAGATGGGACCCGATCACACTGCATGGTACTCTCACAGGCCACCCAGAACACTCTTTTCTTCTCTTCCATTATTTCCTCTTAATCCCTCGCCTTCCATTCCCCCCAGAGAGGAAGGCGACTGGTCTCTATGTTTAATGTGTGTCTTCCTTGTCCACTGTCTGTCTTCGAAATACAATGTCGTTTTGAGCTTTCATTACATAAACATAGTGTCCAATGATTCACGTTTTCAATTCAACACTGCCTTTTGCCACAACTTCATGGAGATCCAGTTGACACGCCATGTGTGGCACGCGGCCCATGTTTGAAGCGCACCCGTGGGTAAGTTCTGACGCGGGTACACTCGTGAGCGATCACAGCCATCAACACAGTCATCAGCCCCCTGACGTGGCCTCCTGTCCCTGGGCCGTCCCGTCAGCTGTTAATACTGTGAGCTGCAATGACTGAGTTTTTAAAAATACATATTCATTGATTTTGGAGAGAGGAAAGGAGAGGGAGAGGGAGAGGGAGAGAGAGAGAGAGAGAGAGAGAGAGAGAGAAACATCAGTCACTCGACCAGTTTGAGCCATCACCATCGGCATTTCCTAAAATCAAATATAAATCGGGGTCAGCTCCCTTCTTCCCCCCGTCCCTGCATTACATTCGAGCCTCGCTCATCAGACCAGCTGCTTTCCCGGAGCCAAGAAAAGAACAGGGAGAGAAAGAGGGACTCGGGGACCGGAGGGCGGCGCTGAGATGGGAGAAAGCTGGCTGAGGGGGGCCCGGTGTGCTGCTGAGTGACAGAACATACAGTGCTTGGCTCCGTCGTCTGTAGGGAGGGGAGTTGGCTGGCTGGGATGCCGCTCTGTGCTCATGCCTCACACTAGCCCCTGTCCTGCTCATTTAGAGAAAGAGGAGTGCAAGGTCCCCTTTGTCAGAGGCTGCTGCCCCCTGCCCCCCTTTTGGAAGGGACAGGAAGATACAGTTGTCTTTTCAACACGGACATTCGAAAGCCATGGACCTTCAGCTCCAAGGCAGTCTTTGGGGAGGGGGTGAGTAAAGATGTTAGGGATGAGCAGGGCTAGGGATACACCCCGAGAGAACAATAGCTAGACTAAAAAACCTCAGGGTTTGCCCCAGCCGGTGTGGCTCAGTTGGTTGGGCATTGTCCCCTGCACCAAGAGGTTAGGAGTTCGATTCCTGGTCAGGGCACAGGCCCAGGTTGCGCGCTCGATCCCCAGTAGAGGGTGTGCAGGGTGCACTGTCACATCGATGTTTCTCTCTCCCTCTCCCTTTCTCTCTAAGAATCTATTAAAAATATTTTTTTAAAAAATTTTAAATCAATGTTTTAAGGAGCAGTACTTGGACTTGTTCTGCAATATCACTACCAGGGCCTGGTTGGGTGAGCCGAAATTTCCAGAAAGTGGTGATCCCCAGAGTCGGGCAGGAATGGCCTGGGTGGCTAGGGCACCCCTTCACAGTGAAACAGACCCAGGAAGTGGGGAGGTGCATGCAGACCCCACAGGGAGAGGTTGGCAGGAGTCACGGAGGGGGTGAGGATGCTGGCCAAGTAGCTGCATTTTGGGCTGGGCTCCAGGCTCTACAGGGAAAGGGCGAAATAAAAATCAGGAAAAAAATAAAAAACTACAAAAAAAAAAGAAAGAAAACAAGAACCCAGGCCTTTGGAGCTGAGGAGAGCAAGCCTGTGCTTGCATTTCACAGCAGTTCTGGTTGTAGAAGGAAGAGGGGACTGATGCCAGGCGCCCCCTGCTGGAGGGCATGGGGCATCTCATGGGCTCCTAGGAGGAGGGATGGGTGGTGGCTCAAGGACCAAGTGAATTTAGACTCAAAGGAATCCCCTCTGACACCCTCTCTCCTCACCTCCCGCCCTGGCCAGAGGCTGGTCAGCTGGTTCTGGAAGGCTGGTTTTTTTTTCCATGAGGGACTCTGCACACATAGGCTTCGCCACTGGGTTGCCATGGCTACTGGTTTCCACCAAAGTAGATGATGCTACTGCTGCTGATGGATGGATGGCTCAAGGACCAAGTGAATTTAGTCTCTAAGAGTTTGTCATGGGAATCCCCTCTCGCACCCTCTCTCCTCACCTTCCTCCCTGGCCAATGTCTAGTCAGTTGGTTCTGGAAGGATCATGGGCCTTCTCCCACCTATACACGGATGGAGCTTACACACGGGTCTAGGCGCCTGCACCCAGCTCACCAGCTCAAGAAAGGCCCGAGTTAGGGGGGACTAACGAGGGTCAAATTTGGACTGAGGGCCTGCAGTCCTCTTTATACTGCCCAGGGGTCATCTGCTCTCAGTAGCAATAGTAACAGGCATGGTGATGGCTGTCAGCACCCAGACTTGACTGTCGGGCATGAAGTGTCCAAGAGAGGCACGTGACCGACCTGCTGGTGTCTGCTCCAGCAGCATGATGGGAAAGCTCTCTGCTCACCAGGAGAGAGTTGTTCACGAAATGCAGGTGGACATCCCACACCCTTGAGCTTTGTCAACAGTGAGTGCAAGGAACTTATGACCCAGAGCCAACCAAGGCCAGCTGCCCTCATGTCACATTCAGGCCTCTGCTGCCACCTGTAGGGCTTCGATGGGCTTGCGTGTCTTGTGTTCATCCCCCCCTGACCCCTGACTCCTCCATCTGTGAAATGGGTTTAAGCCCTGCCCTTCCAAAAAATTAAGACAAAGCTATTTGTGTGTGTAAACATGAAATGCAATTATGGCAAATAGTGACTTTTTAGAAAATATGCTTTTATTGATTTTAGAGAGGAAGGGAGAGGGATAGAGAGAGAGAGAAACACCAAGATGAGAGAGAAGCATTGATCGGCTGCCTCCTGCACGCCCCCTACTGGGGATCGAGCCTGCAACCCGGGCATGTGCCCTGACCGGAAATGGAACCCTGACCTCATAGGTCGACACTCAATCACTGAGTCACGCCGGCTGGGTGCAACTTGATTTTTTTAAAAAAAAGTTTTGTCAACTAGTCTTGATGTCTCTCCATGTGGTTATAAACACCAAATTACTACATTTTTGTTCATTGATGCCTACTGTTCTGTTAGCCGTGTATCTGATGATGGACATACAGGTTTTTGCAACTTTTTCTTTTTCTCTGAATAGTGTGCTGCGGTGACCATCCTTGTCCTTTTGCCATTGCTTGCTTCTCGATGGTAGTTAACCAGATGGGAATTACAGAGTTGCTGGGTGTATGCATTTTAAATTTTACTACCGATTGCCCAGTTATTACTTAAAGTGGCTGTGCCAGTTTACACTCCCACCGATGGGCACAAGCGTGTCCTCTCCGATTCTCGATGTTTCCCAGCTCTTCAGTTTTGCGCGGTCTGGTTGCTGTCTAGTTGTTGCTTTAGTCTGCATGCGTCTGTTAGTGGACAATGACTCCTTCAGCCTGACCCCAGTGGCATAAGCACTTGTTCTCCTGGCTGCTACTCACCGGCTTTCAGTGGCAGGCCTTTGAGGTGGCTCTTTGGCCAACAAAAGCTGCACCAAAAAGCTCACCATGACATTTCTCCATCTGTAAGAGGGTGTGGCCATATCTGTTCCGCTCGCTTCTGTGAGGATAAAGACAAAGGGTTGTGTGAAGGGTTTGGATAAATACTGCTATGTTGGATGTAGCCAGCAGTCGGGTGCAAACACAGGTGTGCAAGAAAGTGGCCAGCGGCACACATCCAGATGCAGAGAGGACGCGCTTTTAGGGGTGACACGGTTGGCCAGGACGCTCTCCAGCCTGTCGTCTTGTGCAGTTGAGGCGGAAGGGTCAGGGGATTTCAAAAATGAACATAAACTCTTAAGATTAGAGACTTCCCCATGGTGGTCCCTCAAGGTGTCCCCTCCTGGGTCCTCCGGGGTCGCGCGCCACCTGGCGTCCGGTCTCCGCCACTGCCCAGAAACCACGTGTAAGAAAGTGCTTACAACCTAACAACACACCCTGGTTTGGACCCGTCCTAGCCAATAGGCGAGGGGGAGGCGGGGCCGGGGAAAGCCAGCGCCCAATCACCTCCTGCTCTCCGAGGAGAGGGCGGGGCTTCGGGTTTACCACGTTGGGTTTGTCCGCAGCGCTAATTACTTTTTCCAGAGGCAGGAGGAGGGTTTCACTCCGGCTGGCGCCGCCGCCTCGCGCGCTCCTGCTCCGCCGCGACCATCCGGGGGGCTGCTCCTCCCAAGTACCATGTGTGACGGCGCCCTGCTGCCTCCCCTCGCCCTGCCCTTGCTGCTGCTGCTGGTTTGGGGACTGGACCCGGGCACAGGTAGCGC